TGATTTTTGGTCTTCTGGATATATACCTAGTAGAGGAATTATAGCATCAAATAGCAGGTCTATTTTTAGATCCCTAAGTGTTCTCCAAACATCTTTCCAAAAGGAATGTATTAGTTTGCATTCCCACCAGCAGTGTAGAAGTGTTCCCTTTTCTCCACATCCATACCAATATCTCTGGTTTGGGGATTTTGTGATGTGGGCTAATCTTACTGGAGTTAGATGATATCTCAAAGTGGTTCTGATTTGCATTTCTCTGATGATTAAGGATGATGAGCATTTTTTCATATGTCTGTAGGCCATGCACCTGTCTTCTTTAGAGAATTTTCTGTTCAAGTCCCTTGCCCACCCTAAGATGGGATCATTTGTTCTTTTCTTGCTTATATTTTTGAGTTCTCTATGAATTTTTGTTATTAAACCTTTGTCGGAGACATAAACTGCAAATATCTTCTCCCATTCTGTGGGCTGTCTGCTTGCTTTACTTACTGTGTTCTTGGATGTGCAGAAGCTTTTTAGTTTTATCAGGTTTCAGTAGTGTATTTTTGGTGTTGCTTCAATTGCCCAGAGGATCCTCCTTATAAAATATTCGCCAAGGCTGATTTCTTCAAGTGTTTTTCCTGCATTTTCTTCTAGTATTTTTACAGTTCCATGTGTTAAGTTTAAATCTTTAATCCAGTGAGAGTCTATCTAAGTTAATGGTGAAAGGTGTGGGTCCAATTTCAGTCTTCTACAGGACTTCAGCCAGTTCACTCAGCACTATTTGTTAAATAGGTAATCTTTTCCCCACTCAATGTTTTTAATTGGCTTGTCAAAGATCAAATGATGGTAAGTAGCTGGATTCATCTCTTGGTTCTCTATTCTCTTCCATGCATCTACCTCTCTGTTTTTGTGCCAGTACCATGCTGTTTTGATCACTATTGATTTATAGTATAGTCTGAGGTCTGGTAACGTGATTCTTCCTGCTTTGTTTTTATTTCTAAGTAATGCCTTGGCTATTCAATGTTTTTTCTGATTCCATATAAAATGAAGTATTATTTTTTCAAGATCTTTAAAGTATGACAATGGAGCTTTAAAAGGGATTGCATTAAAATTGTATATTGCTTTGGGTAGTATGGGCATTTTAACAATGTTGATTCTTCCCAGCCATGAGCATGGTATGTTTTTCCATTTGTTAACATCTTCAGCTATTTCTTTTCTTAGAGTTTCTTAGTTCTCTTTATAGAGATCTTTTACATCCTTTGTTAGGTAAACTCCCAAATATTTCATTTTCTTTGGCACTACTGTGAATGGAATAGAGTCCTTGACTGTTTTTTCAGCATGACTATTGTTGGTATATATAAAAGCTACAGATTTATGAGTGTTGATTTTGTAACCTGAGATGCTGCTGTATTCCTTGATCACGTCTAAGAATTTTGTAGTAGAATCCCTGGCATTTTTGAGATATACAATCTGAAGTTTTATAGTAGAATCCCTGGTGTTCTCAAGATATCATCTGTGAAGGGTGAAAATTTGATCTTTTCTGACCCTATGTGGATACACTTGATTGCCTTTTCTTGCCTAATTGTGGTAGCTAAGACTTCCATTACAATGTTAAAAAACAGAGGAGACAATGGGCAACCTTGCCTGGTTCTCCTTTCCTTCTTCTTATCTCTGACTTGGGTGGATCTAACAGTATTTCTTTGGTTTTTGCAAAAGAAAACTTTGCTTCTTGGCCATGTGCATTTCCTCCCTTAGCTCTATTTACCCTATCACCTATCCATCAATCCACTTAACCATCTATTCAGCTATCCACCTCCTTCATCATCATCCATCCATCCATCCATCCACCCATTCATCCTTCTACCCACTTACCAACAATCCATCCATTAAATCACTCACTCATCCATCTATCCATCCATTCATCCATCCATCCACCCATCCAATGTGTCTTCTTGCAGATCTTCTGAATACACCTGACCCTGAAAAGAAGCCTACTCAGAACTTGCCTCCTACCACCACCAAGGCCTCAAGCCCTCAACATACCCCCAAGTTTAACATCTCCACTTCTAATCCCACAGTCAACCTTCAAAATGTCAGCAGGTATGCTTTCCAAGCCTCTGGGCCCTTGGATTGGACAGTGAATCATTTCCCCCTAGTCCATGTGCTGAGAGGATGTGGGGAGTGAGGGCTGGGGAGGGTGGGGCAGGAGCAGGCTTGAGTTACTTCAGTTTAGGTAGAAACATGCAGGGTATGAAGGAATTGGTGATGGAGGGAGAGGAGGTTCTCAGTGAGGCTTTCATTCTCCCAGTTCAGCCTCCCAGTTTCCTTGCACACCAAAGTAGGAAGGAGAGAGATATAGCATGTTTCCCAAATTCTAATGGACCTATCCAGCCCTAAGGTCTAACAGATAGTATTAAATGCACTCTGAGCGAGGGACCTGCATTCTGGTGCCAGCCAGAATGTGTGACTTTGGGCAAGTCAAGAGCCTTCCCAGCTTTAGTTTCCTTGTCAATTCAGTGTGCATACTAGAAAATCAGAGCTGGCGGTGAGATCTGTTCAACAGCTCTCAGCAGTAGGTACATGTTGGAATTACCAACATGGTAATTAATCCTACCATGGAGGATTTATTTGTGCTTTCCTTTTTTCTTTTTTAAACACTGATTTAAGTGCCCTACCACAGGCCAATAGAATCAGAATTTGTAGAGGTAAGGCCTGTTCATATTTTTTTAAAGCTCATCAGAAGATTTCTAATGTGCAGGCAAAGTTAAGAACACTAACTTAGCATCCACACACCTCTTCACAGTTATTATTGAATACTCATCTTAGAATGTGTTTATTATTAAACACATAACAGGGAAAGAAAGAGTCTTCTACATTCTCACTAATCTAACATGTCTTTTTGCTACATTTTCTCATCTGGCCTTTATTCACGTTTACAGATATTTTATCATAACCCAGTAGTAATTCTAACTATAAACATTTCCACTATTTTCCTTGCTAAAATTATTCTTTGATCCTGCTCGCTAGCTTTCATAGATGTAATTTTAATGAATGAGTACTTTTCTATCAATTGGAAGAGCCATAACTTACATAGTCATTTGCCTGTTCTTAGACCGACATTGATATTATTTTCATTTTTATAGTATTAATAACTATAAACATATTCTTTTTTTTTATTTTGAGGCAGAGTCTCACTCTGTTGCCTTGAGTAGACCCTAAGTAGTGTGCTGTGACGTCATCATAGCTCACAGTGACCACAAACTCTTGGGATCAAGCTATCTTCTTGCCTCAACCTCCCAAGTAGCTGGGATTATAGGTGCCTGCCACAACGCCCACCTGGTTTTTCTACTTTTAGTAGAGATGGGTGTCTCACTGTTGCTCAGACTGGTCTCTAAACTCCTGAGCTCAAGGGATCAGGGCTGGGTTTGAACCCGCCACCTCCGGCATATGGGGCCAGTGCCCTACTCCTTGAACCACAGACACTGACCCCCATGTCTATCACGTAGAACACCTGTGTTCTCATCTATTTCCACGTCTGCCGAGGGAACAGGCTGAGTTCTCTTACTTGTTTGCATCTTTCTTCCAACATCTATTGATATTTACCCAGAATTCTTAGAATAAATTTACTATAATCTACAAAAAATTTATGAGGGGATTTTCAGCAGGATTGGATTATCCTCAGTTTAAAGATAAGAAAACTGAGGTCAGAGAGGTGAGGTGAAGTGAAGTGGCTCTGGGGCCCTACTTTCCTTACCACATCACTTGGGAGGAGGCGGGCTGGTCAGCTCCCTCTCCCTCCATGATGCCCTTATTAGATGCAGGTCCTGTGCTCTCCACTAAATGTATTTCTAATCAGTAGAAATGGAAGGCACAGGGTCAGACAGTGTGGGAAAGGTGCTGGAAGAACATAAGCAGATAAGCATATGCCCGTAGTTACAGCTACACTGGAGTCTGAGGAAAGAGAATAGCTGTGAGCTATGATGCCAGGGCACTCTACCCAGGGCAACTGAGTGAGACTCTCTCTCTCTCAAAAAAAAGATCAAGACATGAAGGAATTTTGTAGAGTGAACACTCATGTGTGGGGAAGTCATCGCCAGCAGCAACGTTCAATCTCTTCTCTCCTCCAGGGTCCCTGTGTTCAGCATTGTCGTTCCCGTGGTCTGTGGACTCCTGAGTAAGAGCCTGGTCTTCACTGTCTTGTTAGCTGTCACACAGAAGTCATTTGGATTCTAAACCCATGAATCCATGAGAATGATCTCTGACCTCCAGCCACATCCATCTGGCAGTTGTGCCGGAAGAGAAGTGGGAGGTGGGGGAGAAAAACTGGGGTGGATGTGTTAATGAAATAAATTTTACCTGTGATCACAGGCTGTTTCTAAGGTCAGGATCCCGCTCTCCTGGCCCTGTCTCCTCCCCTTACTTCACTAATAACCCTAGGTGTGCACTTAGCCCCCAGAAGAGAATGCCCTGGACACTTCTGGCCCTTCATGCCACCAGCGGCTCTGCAGGAGCTGTAGACAGTCCAGCTTGTCACTGCTGCTCTCCTGTGTGTAATGAAGCACAGAGGGCACACCTGATGCTTCTCTTGTTCCTTGCCCTGAAACATAGCTCTGGCCCAGCCTGGACAAAGCTCCTGCTACAGAAGGGTCCTACTCCCGCCCTGCTGGGACTTCCTCTACCTCAGACACTTGGACTTCACTCTTCACTCTTCAACGCCCCCTTTAGCTCCTGAGATGCTTTCCAACACTCCCAGAAGGGGTGTTGAAAACCATGGAGTTGGAGAAAACAAGAAAACATCCTGGCAGGATGAACTGGGATCCATAGGATAGCATTGACAGATAATAGGGAGACAATATTAGGGTGTGCTTTGTGCATTTTATTTCTGGATCCTGCAAATAATTCCATGAAGGCAGAGATGTATGTGACTAGATTAAAGGCACATGGATAATGTCACAACTTACTAGCAGGAAGGAAACTAAAGAGTTCCTTTATTGAAGAATCCCAAAGCCATAAAGAATAGAACAACCTGGAGTTCTGCCTATGCCTAAATATATCTAACAGGGGGCAGGGAGGTGGGGTGACAAGCTCTCTCCTGGGGGCTGCCCCTATGTGCTCTCCTGGTTCCCCACTCTGCCTTCCTCTTCCTCCCCAGAAGGCCCCCTTTAGCTCCTGTACCCTCTCCAGGGCCTTCACCCAAGAAATAGGTACCCAGGCCCATCTGTACCTTGTGATCACCAACAGATTTCAGTCTGTTGAAACAGATTTGGGCTCAAAAGGGGAAAGGGTCTCATGCGGTTGGGAGGAAGGATGGTGAGTCCTTCTATTCCAATTTAGCAATTGCCAAGGCCAATATCATCCTAAATTCCCTAAGAGCAATCACACGTTCCCACACATACATACCATCTGTCTTATGTTTGGAAAACGTATTCCTACAATCAACACAACTTCTGTGAAAAAATTACCCTGAGTGCGCTTTCCACTTCCTGATGCTGCTTCCATCACATAGGGACTTCACCATTGACCTGACCACAGCTCTGTCATAGCCCACCCAGGTGGTAACACTAACCACAGGGAGATTACTTCTGTGGCCCTAATTTTGTGTCCTTTAGAGGTTGTGCAAGGGGCATTCATTTCATCCTGATGCTCTAGTGAGGATCTTCAGAGAAGCCCTTGACCTAGATGTCGTTCATCTCAGGGTATCTATTTTCCTGTCCAGAAGAACCAGGCGGCTCAGAGGCAGTGACTACACAGCATACCATGTTTGCACACCAAGGATGCTGGTCTGGGACCTGCACTTTAGCAATTCCAGTGTTGCTACTGTTTGTGAAGTTGACAAAATATCCAGGGCTAAGAGTCCTACGTATACACTTAGGAAAGTCAGAACACTAGGGCAGCATTTCTCAAAGCATAGTCTTTGGATGACCTGCAACAGACTCTCCTAGAGCATAAAACAAAACTTTAGAACCCAGGTCCCCTCCAGACCAACTGTATTCAACCCATCTTTGTGGTGGGTTCTCATGCTTGTTTTCAAGAAGTTATTATGCTCCTTGCCAAAGTCCATGATGCATTCATATAAATAACCAACTTCATGGTGTAGTGTGCTATGTGTTAAAGTGGTATGTAAGCAATGTACTAAACTTGTCTGAAAAATTATATATGCTAAGTTGGAAGAAAAATGGTTGTGCTGGATACTGTCCCATTTTCACCTGCAGGCCCACTCCCCATATTCCCTGCCTAGGAACCCAACCAATGTGGCTAAATCAATAGCTCCCTCCTCACCGCCCCCCACCAGATTCTGGGGGGAGGGGGGAGGGTTAGCCAATAGGCAGCAAGGCAGAAGAGCAGAGGGTGGAGAGAATGAGGCCAGGGTTTCTATGCTTGGGTCTCTCTTGCTGGTAATAGCAGGAGCAGTTGCACTCCTCTCTGAAGGCTCCTCCCAGCCCCTCACCAAACAGCTCCTATCTCCAAGTTCAGCCACCTATTTCCATCCTCTTGTTCCTGCAGGCCCAGAGGTAGTAATGACTCACCACTGTTGCCAGCCTTGGAGTACTGAAGCATACCTTATTGGTTCCCCCCAATTCTCCCCATACCTTCATTAAACACTCCTTAACTGCCCAGTTTCAATGATCTTCCCATGTCTTTCTGGGCCCTTGACTGATACCATAGTGTTTGGGTTTGAGTTCTAGCTTTGCCTCCTTGCAGGGCGTGATGCTGGCTAGCCATGCCAGTGATAATTCTGGGTGGCAACCACAGAATCCAACTCTGGCTGCTTAAAACAGAAAGGGAATTCTAGAAGGGTATTGGCAACTTGAGGTCCAGGAGAAGGCTGGTGTACTAGCTTATTCAGCCAAAACTCTGTTGGTTTGAGCAGAAACCAAGAGAAAATGGACAGCAGAGAACACAGATAATTCACAACATGAGACTGTCTGGCTATTTTGCCATTGATCATTGCCCTGGCCACTCGAGGCCACCAACCCCTTGTCACTGTGCTATTGCTGGACTCTAGTCACTTCCAGTTGGCCCTGCACCTGGTCCCTCATCGTCAGGATCTAGAATTCTAGGCAGAATCATGTATGTGGCCAGGCTGGGTCAAGTCACATTCCTGTGACACAGCTTCTGGGGAGAAGGGTGGGAGGAATATCTGTCTCTACCCTGCGCAGAGGGGAAGCAGATGTCTGTCTGTTTACCAGTAAGACTCACACTGGGATGTGTTCCCTGAATGATAAAGGTATTTGGTGCTGGAGAGCCCAAGGATGACAAATTTTCCTTATAAAGTCTCCTGATGTTGACAGGATTAAATAAGACAATTTGAGTAAGGCACCTGGTATACAAATGAACTCTAATCCATGGTGGTAACGGATAGCTCAGGGAAGGACGTATCTGGTACACAGGCAGAGCATCTGGCACACGCTGCAGGGCCTATCTGACCTCATTCAGAGCTCTCACAGGCAAGGACTATTCGGACCACTTGCCTCAGAAGCACTTGTGCTGCTTGTGAAAATGGAGATTCCTGGCTGGGTTCGGTGTTTCACGTCTATAATCCCAGCACTTTGGGAGGCTCAGGTAGGAGGATCACTTGAGCCCAGAAGTTTGAACATACCAAGACTTCATATCTAAAAAAACAATTCTAAAAGAGCAGATTTCTGAGATCCTCCCTAGGCCTGCCAAATCAGACTGTGCACATGTACCAAGCTTCTTGGGTGACTCGGCCACATGCCCATATGTGGGAACCACAGTACAGGGCAGATTAAAGATGAGGGATTACCAAGAAGGCTTGACCCCTGGCCATGGTGGGTGAGCAAAATTTGGAAGCATCATACACTTTCAATTGGGTCAGTGGCCTGTGATAAGGAGGTCTTGGTGACCTGAGGAAGTGAGGTGGATGGATCTACACTAGCCCTGGTGCAGAATGGGGAGCTACTGAATGTGTCCCATCAGAACCGTGACACAATGACAGCCGTCTGGAGGGCAGCTGGAGCTCCTTTCTTCCTCTTCAGAGCTTCCTGAGCTGTTCCCCCTTGTCATCCTTGCCCCAGGGTTTCTCAATTGTACAGTAACAGCCCAGCTGCTCTGGGGAAGATGGTTAACACCTATGTGGGGCAACATCCTCCAATAACTGCAAGTGGCCCTGGCCAGCTGGCAGACAGGGCACCGGGGGAGCAGGGAGCAGGATAGAATGGAGTGGGCAGGGCTCTGGGGCTGGCCGTGGTTGCTGCTGCTGCTGCTGCTCTGTGTCTCAGGTAAGGAGAGCAGGTGAGAAGGCTGGGCAAGAGGGCACAGGAGATGGCTGTAGACAGGTGAGCAGAGGTACCCATTGCAAGCAGTTGTCTCATTTCTTCAGGGTGGACTGAGATGGGACCAGAAGGGCTCTCATTACCAGCAGGAAAAAGGGAAGAGGGAAGTAGTGAATGTGCCTGCACTGGTTCCCCTAACCCAACAGGGACTGGGCAAGAAAACAAGCTGGAGGCTTCTTTAGTGCCGTGGTTCTCAACCTTCCTAATGCCTCAGCCCTTTAATACAGTTCCTGTGGGTCGCAACCACAGGTTGAGAACTGCTGCTCTAGTGCATGCTGAAGTTGAGATAATCAGCTGAAGTCAACCAAGCAATCTCCCAGCTCTGTGCTAATGTGCTAGGAGGTAGACAGAAGTATAAGGCAGAGCTTCCCTGATGGGATTACTCAGGAACTGAGCAGGGGAGGCATTAGCAGAGGAGTAGATGAAAAATGATAAAGGGCCAAGCAGCAACAAGATGACAAATCTGCTGTGGAAGCCACTCTAGCAAGGCTCAGAGCTGGAGAGTGGAAAAGAGGGCAAGCGTTCTGGGATCAGAAAGAGCTGGGTCAAATCCCATCTATGCCACTTTCCAAATATGTGACCTGGAGAAAGTCCTCTGACCTCTGTGAGGCTCATTTTCCTCATTTGTAAGCAGCACCTACTCCTGGGTATTCATCGGTAGATAGCACAGACTTCAGAGGGTTGTCCTAAGCGTTAGACAGCAGATTGAGGGAAAGCTCTTGGCTCAGTGTTCAGGGCATAATGACTGCTTAAAAAGTTATGGTTGGTGATGATGATGATGATGATGAGGAGGATATATAAGCAGGTGTAGGGTGATCATGGTACTGAGGGTTAGGAGGAGAAAGAGATGAGTACCAGTTACAGCATGTCAGGTAGACTACCCTCTGGGACCAAATGGGATGGCGATGGGTGGAGAGGAGGTAGGAACATCGTCCTGGGGACACCAGGAGCTGATACCAGGGCTTTGTACCAGGAAGCAAGGAGCATGTATGGGCCCCCATAGATAGAGTAGAAAATGGGTGATGTATCTGGCAAAG